GAAATGTAAAATAAGATTTCAATAACCTCACAGATTAACATATTCCTTTGTCAATGTTGCCATCCCATTCAAATTCTTAATTGCCTGGCTTTCAACTGAAATTCTGAGGGGCTGATTGCATTTCAAAAGGCAGGATTCAGTGTGGCTCTTACCACTGTGATACAATATCACCTCTTAGGAAGCCCTTTAACTCAGGTATGGGAGCTCAAGAGGCTGTTTACATTGAAAAGAACGCACGTGTGTCTAAGAGGTGATTTGTCTTCACAGAATACAACTGTTCTAGCAAATACCACTTCATATTTAAGCTATTTGTGCGCAGTTTTATTTGTCTGTGACATATCAGAACATGTCCTTTCTGCGATTCTATTTGAAGTGCCGACTATCAAAGATGGGAAGCAAAAATAAATGGTGACGAACGACTTGAGTGCTAGCGAAGAGAGCAGGAGGAAGGGGAGCAAAGGCTCTGGCCCACATCATATTTTTGTTCAGCGCTCTGATCAAGCAGTCGGCATGTCACTGCAGCAAAGTGAATAGATTAACTTTTAAATATACTGTGGTCTCCGGAGCCCCTTGCCCTCAGAGACGCATCTTCTCTGCACGAGAAAACTGATCAACACCTCCACATCTGCTTTTTAAATCCCTTTGCTCCCCTTCTACAATTCCCAGGTTCTTAATATTGGGAAGTTTTTATTTTTCTCAAGTGATTAACCAAGAAATATAATTTCTGAAATGTAGCAGGGTTTTTTAATCAGCATGTTGTGCTGGGGGATCGGGGCTCTGATAAGCCTTTAATTTGTCGGAGCATTTCAGATTCCATTGCCGTTCGTCTCCAAGTATTCCTTTTAGATTGTCTGCTCGAATCTGAGGACTGAGTGCTAGCAGGGATAGTGTGTGAACGTTGCTCGGTATGATATGTGGTTAGCTAGGAGATGAAGATCTGTTGCCTGGAGGGGGCACTCTATACCTCCCAACGGAAATCACAGCAATCATGTGTGTAAACAGATTTCAACAGGACGACATCGAATGATACCAGATGATACAATAGATATGTGGCAGCACAGTTTGTACTTTTTGTTTTACTCAAATCAAATAGTGCGCACACACTTACAAATGACTCTTCTCTGACACTCTCCCCCAGCACCCCTGTGTTGTGTGTTTGTTTTCTGTGTGGTGTCACTCAATGTGCCTTGGACGTAGGCCATTTGCACGCTCTGGGAGAGGCTCAGGCAGCTTTTTCTGCTTGCTTTGGAATTTGGAGGCCTGAGAGGACCCCAATCCATCACAGCTCTGTCATCCCCTGTCTGTCCTCTCCTCTCGTCCCGGCCTCCCTCTCCTGCACCGGCCTCACTACAGCTCATTAGCGCCCCGCAAGCTGTTGTGACAACTCATCATATCATGACAAAAAGCAGAGAGGCAGAGACTAGCGCGCCCCCCCCCCCGTCCGACCACCCCCTGGGCCCACAAGGTCGCCACCTTCACATTTAGGGCTCAAATTGGCCCTGCGAGGTGCCACCAGGCGGAAATGCAAGGCCAACAGCTTTTTCCTGTCTGGCCTCCACCTCGCTGTCTCCCTCCCTTTGTCTCACTCTGTCCCGCTGTCATATTCTCACCCCCTCTGCCTTCTCCTGTACCCCCCCCCTCTCCCCAGAGGTCCGACTTGAAGCAGCTCATTCATTTGACAACTTCCAAAAGGCTCTTTTCACACAGTGGAGCAACAGCATTAGTCACCATTTAGCTTGGGAAATATTAGACACTTGATATAATATTCTGGTCCTATCTGCAATGCAGCTTTGGAAACACTTGCAGAATTAAAGTTTAAAAATCCTGGCGTTTGTTAGCCGTTAATGTGCAGGTATTGTAGAGAATCACCACTGTAAAACGAGGCTGTTGGAATGACACAAAAACCCAAATATATTCAGGCATATAAGCATCGTTCCCTTTGAGCATTTGAGCCTTGCAGCTGGAAAAAGAAGAATAGAATAAATAGAGCCAAGGCGATATCAATAACATAACCAGAGGCGGCAACTACTGCTTCTGTTTGTGTCTGCTGTACTTAAGTGTGCTGCCTGCACTTCACAGCACTGGCCTTCCTCAGCAGCAGGCGCTGTATGTGTCCTGGACGGGGAAAGAGTCAATGTGCTCATTGATGTTCGTGCTCTTAAATTTTACTGCAGGGTCTTTTTGAATGCCAACTCTCTTTTGAGGCTCGAGAACCTGGTCTTTATGACTACAGAGTAGTGCGTTTTTTGTTTTGTCTTCTGCTATATTTGTTTATTGTAATGACGGAGGTGGTGCGAAAGGATGCAAGTCAGCGGGGGTGTAGGAGCAGGAAGCGTTCTTTCTTTTCCCCTGGCTTCTGTTGAGCAGGGAGAGTAAAGCCTCCCACGTTGCCTGCTTTTGTTTCACTGCGCCCTTTGAGCTCTGTGCGGCTGAAGCACCCAACAGCCTGCCAGACGAGTCCCTGGGCTTGTTTTGTCCCACAGTGGCCACAGGGCAGGTGCTGGGCTTCCGTACCTCAGGGACCACCGGGTGCTGCCTTGGCGTCAGCGGGAGACAAAGTGGATGCTACTGCGTGTGCGATGATCACATGGCATGTAGAGAGTGAGCAGATTGAAGACATCGGACCACAGGAAGTCAGCTGACTGCCCATATGTGTGTTTGGTGATCAATCAACAATGTGGGGGCGAGTTTGACTGATGGCACTAGCAGCTTTCACCCAAGATCTCTAAAGGAATGTTATACGATGGAAATGTAATGCAACGTACTCACTAACAAAACTTTATGTTGCCATGTTCTCGCCTTCACGCCAAGCTCTGGAAGCAGTCGGTCCAGCTCGTTGCTATTTGCCTTGCTCTGGGCTTTTCAGGAAAGAAAATAAAAGCACACTCTTCGACCGCAAGTGACTGATGTAAATCGGCTGGCTTCTAGCTCTCTCTGTCTCTCACACACCCTCTTTAACACCCTCTGTCTAAATGTGGACTCAGTGGATGGGCATTTTGAACTGTCTTCTCAATGGCCGGGGCCCCTGGACAAAAGAACTCATTTAAAATGGCCACTAAAGCTTTTCAGCACCAAGAGATGAAGAATTGACAACATTCTTTCACATCATTACCCGAGGGAGGAGCAGGGAGTCGCGAAGGAGGAGGTTAGGAGGTGAGAGATATGGAAGGGGGGGGGGACGAGAGGAAAAAAGAGGGGGCAAGAGAGAGGGAGACACAGGCCATCTTCTAGCAGCTGTCATAACCCCCATCCTGGGTGTTTCTCTACCAGTTTATTCTTTTTCATCCCACTATTCTAGATGATCAGATCAGGAGCCTGTACGCAGCCCTCGGTTTGTGTTCTTTTTAATGAATCCCATTCCGCCTACCGCCCCTCCCCCCCCCCACGACACACAAACACACACACACAGCCCCCCCTCTCTGCTTCTCTCTTCCATAGCCTTTTCAGCTCAGGGCTGTGAATGAGTCCCAGGAGTCTCTCTGCCTCCCTGGAGTTCTGCTGGGGTTCATTAATCTTTCATTGGGACCATGGCAATAGGGAATGCCCCCCCCCCCCCCCCCTCCTCTCTCCCATTCTCCACTCCCCCACCACTGCCACTACAGAATAGAGGTCTATATGGCCCGGCTTGTACGGACAGCTTTTTACTACCCAGAGAAAATGTAGTACGGGCCTCTGAATGGACTGTTGCTGTATTAAGCTCTCGCACGGGCCCAATATTAACTTCCGCCACACAGATGATTACTTTGCAGCATTAAGTTCTGCCCACATTGGTCTCGCCCTGAGCCCACCGCTTTGCATTTGTATAGTCAATGAGCATGGGGCAACTGAGCATCATTTGTATGTATCTGCCAACATCTAGTCCCATTAATGTTTTTCAAAGTCTTCTGGAAATGTGCCACAGTGGAGCGCTTCTTTTTTTCCCTCTTCTTTCTTGCATGGGTTAAAGTCGCTAATGAGGGTGTGTGGCCTGTGAGAGAACACACACACACACACACACACACACACACACACACACACACACACACACACACACACACACACACACACACACACACACACACACACACACACACACACACACACACACACGGCTTGGTGTCTTACTCCTCTCCCCCCCTGAACATATCATCCATGTTATGATAAGCCTGATTAGTGCTGCTTCTTTGACTGCTGAGGGCAGGATAAGGATGTGTGGGTAAAGAGGCGAGAGCAGCCTCTTACACCAGCCTAATCTACAGCAGAGCTCTAATCTGGTTATCTAGTGGTTTGGGGGGACTGTGTGTGTATTAGTGAATGTCTCGGCCTGGCCTGATGAGAGGGGCTGAGCTCCGGTTAGCGCAGGGGCCCACGGCAGCACACCCCTAAAGCTCCACTGTAATCTTTGGGTAATTGAAAAAAAGGGGGCCTGCGCCACTTAGGAGCACAAAGACAAGATTACATAGCTAAAACTAATTTGGCAAAAATGCAGAAATGGATTTTCAGCCCCACCTCCTCTTTCCTAACCCTTTTATTACAATACACCCCTACCCTCCGTGAACTGAGCCCTGGGGGAATATATGTGGGAAGGGGAGACCAGGGAGGAGAGCAGGGAGGAGGAGAGCGCTGACTGGAGCTGCTAATGACTGTGGATTTACACGTGCTGCCTTGATTTTGTGGTTTACAGATGATCGATTACTTGACTGCAACCATGGTTAAAAGTGCCTCATCACACAGCAGACCCAAATGTGAACTGGCAGCCCCCCAAGCCTCTAAGATTGTGTTACTGAATTCCAGGGTGACACCACAGAAGTGTTTTTAATTACAAACCACACTATTTTCACTGTGGCTTGGTGGTTTGGCGAGAGTACCATGAATTGGATCGCTCTTCTTTCAGGGCCTTCAGACCAAGTTGTAATTCTGTGGCAGGAGCACTGCAATCTCTGACCGCTTACCTAAATATTAACGTTCTGCTTTTTTTTCTCTTTCTCCCCTCCTGTCTATCTCTCTGTTCTTTCTCTCAGTCTAATAAGGTTCCAGTGGTACAGCACCCTCACCATGTGCACCCTCTCACACCTCTGATCACCTACAGCAATGAGCACTTCACACCGGGGAACCCCCCACCTCACCTACAGACAGACGTGGATCCCAAAACAGGTACAGTATTTTTCCCCTGCATGCAGGAATATCTGTTAGCAACATGCTACTTGAATCCTGCTAAAACAGCAGAACAGTGTGTTTTAAAGTTGTCAGGATAACGTTAAAAACATTCAAATAAGTTTCACTTAGTTGTTAAAACCCCAGAAACAGGCATTTCAGCTCTGAGAGAGTGTTTGCACTGACGAGTGTGTTAATGTTTTACTATGCCCTGCCACCATGGTTCACATATACAGACTTTAGTTCATGGCGTCTGTCTGTAGGCAAGTTCTTGTAAAAACAATTTGAGAATGAATTACTTACAATATGTATTCTAATAGTAGACTGTGTAGTTTAAACGTATCTCCTTCTTGATATTGACACAGCAATTATTTAACAACCTCAATAACATTTCTAGGACTGTTTATGAGACTGATAGTTGGACAAAGTCACAGTCATCTTAAATACTCCTTGTTGACAACAGCTGCTCTCATCTGTTACCGATTGATTTAGCTATCACGCTCACATTAACGTGGTTTGACCTCAGTGGAAAGTGGCCTTACATTGGAGATCAAGAACCTGAACAGTGGTTCATAAACTCCCTCGTAAAACACGGAATTTAGCAAACAACCACGATTTAGGACCGCAACTCCTTTTGCCAAGACTCAAAACAAGACAGCCAGTGTAGTTGGAGGTCCTCACATATAAATACCAGAAACCTCAACAGTGTCTGCTCGGAATGATGTCATAAGCTAATCCTTAAAATGCTAGATGTGACCTGAGCTCCTGGATTTAAACAGGTTGTCATAGATTGACTCAGTGCCCAAAAGGAGTGTAGTTATGTCTTTACCGCCTGTTGATCCTGCAGATGGAGAGTCAATGTTAAGCAGTCAGATGCTGCCCACTCACATGCCCCTCCCACAACCATTTAGCATACCCTTTTAGAAAATGTCATTTGTTTCCGTGAGCATCTTGACTCAGCACTTCATTTCGTTAACTGTCATACTGCCCATCCTTTCAGGTTAATGCATTTCCAGTGCGAGGAATAATTTCATGCTATTCAGCGGTCTCTGGTGGACTCAGTCAGCGTTTTAGGTAATAATGTTCCATTATTATGATGGTCCTTACAAAGGGGAAATAATGTGCCAGCTGCTGTTTAATGTAGTGCTTAATAGGGCTGCTTAATTGGGCTCAGTGTTTAATTAATTAATGAGCTGTATTAGGTCGTCGGCGCTGGGTGGCGATTGGATAATGTTCCAGGGCTTTCCTGTTTAATATAATTTGCCTTTGCTATAGCAGTAGTATGTTTTTTTCCCCGCTTAGGCTTAAAATGCTGCACAGCACCATCAGTAACAAAATCCCCCCTTAGTTCCTGGATAACCGGGATCAGCTGCAGTTAGGGTGTAACCACCAACAAGAGCCAAGTTCTGCTCTACGAAGATCGATCTGGCCGTTCTTCGGTTGTGTTGGCCCAGGTATCTGCAAAAACAGCTGCATAGGTAAGCCAGCTGTGTGGAAAAAACGCAGATCAGCCAAAATGAAAGTCCCCTAGTTCCTGGTCTGCCGAGTGCACACACCTCCCTGCTGTGCTTTTACACTTGTCTAGTGTTCCCTGTTTCAAGTTTGCCATGAGACGGAAAGTTATTTTTACACGCGACTATGTACGAGACCTTTTCAAGGCATTCATTCAGGGCAGCTTGTCGATGCAGTTTCTTCGCCTGTCAGCTGCCACAGAAAGCAAAGGCAACACTGCGTGGACGCTGTGATTGCTCGGCGAATCCCTCAACGGGAACTGTCCTTAAATTAGACATCTTTGTCACTGCTCCTAACAATCAGTTAATACATTCATTAACATTAACTGGAGTAGTCAACCGTTAATCCAAAGTACTGTCTAACTGAAAATTCACTTTTTAGCTGCTAATTCATAATATTAGTTTATTCATGTATTTATCAGTTGGAATCCATATCCATCCAGCCAGTGTACATCGTACTGACTCAACCTGGAGCCCTGTATAAGCAGCTCTCTGATCACAGAGAAGGCTTTAATTATATTGTGTTTTGTACACTTCTAAACCTGAGTCATTTAATATAATTAATCTCCTGAATCAGTAGACAAATGTGACAAGAATCGTGTTGGTGTTCTCTCCTCACCTCTCTCCCCTCTGCCTCTTCCAACACATCGTGCCGCCTCAAAGGCCTTTGATCAGGAAGTGTGATTTAGCACTGTGTACATGCGAGCAACAAGCCCTCTTCCTCCGCCTCATCCTCCCATCTGCACTCCAGTGATGTCTGCCCCGTTCAGATGTGAAAATCCCAACAAAGAACGAATTCGGGGCTGACAAAGATTTGGTTCTCTCTCTGTCATCATCTTGTTTGTCCACCTCCTCACTGCTCCTGTCATCCTCTTTTTTTCCCACAGGGATTCCAAGGCCTCCACATCCTCCAGACATATCTCCTTATTACCCACTGTCACCTGGCGCTGTCGGCCAGATCCCACACCCGTTAGGATGGCTAGTACCACAGTAAGCAAACCCTTTTTTTATTTTGACACTTTTGACTGTATTCTCTTGTGTGAAAAGGCTTGCAACACCCACACATTGTCATGAGTAATACACGTTATATCAAGCTAAATCATTAAAGAGAAAAACAGCTAACAATAGTCGGCACACAAAGTCAATTATGTAAGCCGTCTCTGTCTCCAAAATGACTTCGCTCTTGTGTTTAAAACCAAAACAAACCTTAAACACACTCACTGCGGGACCACAGAGGACCATTGGCTCTTTCTCACACCCTCACAAACCTCAACTTGCTACTTTGTGGCAAATACTATTTTACATGTCGCTGTATTGTCCAATTAGAGTAATGAACCGCGATTGCCCGTACTTTACCCACAATTCCACACGGGGGCTCTCCCCTGGTAACTCTTGTCAACACTTGTTAATATGACAAAGGCTACAAATTAAGCTCTGTTAATTTAATGTTTTCTCACCGCGATCTAAATACCGAGAGAGGCCCCGAGCGCAGCCATGGCGCCCTTTGATTTGCTGCACTTTATTTTGGTATAAATTTACATTCATTATTGTTTGTCTTTGGATGTGTAGACCTCAATTAGCGTGATGGCTCCATTAAAGAGACCCGCGCTTCGTCTTTAATTATCACAACAAAACACCTAGTTCCAGCTTGGGGAGGAACAGGGCCCCACTCTGTCGACACCGAGCGAAGGGTTATGAAATTTAATTAGCCATTGCTATCAAGATTTGTGGCATTCAAATTGTTCAGAGTTTTCCTCCCTTTGATCTGCGCTCTGCAATCCCCTAGATTTTTGTCCTGATCAAATGAGAATAAAGAGGCCCGCGGTGGGGAGACGAGAGAAACAGAGGGCTTTAGCTTCTCCTCTTCCATCAACCCTGTTCCTTTACCTTTGCTTCTTTCTTCTTTTCTTCCCCCTTCCCAGGCAAGGTCAACCTGTTTATCCAATCACAACAGGGGGTTTCAGACACCCCTACCCAACTGCGCTCCAAGTCAACGCATCCATGTCAAGGTGAGCTGAGACCTAGAAGCGCGCACACACACACATACACACTCATAGTTGTGCGTGTGTTTGACTGAGGGCAATGCCCAAGCAACATTCACACGCAGAGACGGTGAGCAGCAACTTCTCCCTTAGGGAGAGCTCACACTCCCCATATCTCTGTTCAAAAGGCCAATCCTCCAGTGTGGGGCTCCAGCTAGCATGCTCAAATATTAATTATATTTATAATTTTCTAATGAGGCCCCTGAAGAACATTTACCCCCACTGCATGTCAGGCAGATCTGAAATGAGCTGGGGCATGTCCATGCTGTGAGTTTGAGCAGCCAGACAGATAAACAAACACAGCAACACTTTGAAGGGGACTACATGATATAAGCCGGGGCTCTGACACTTGGCTAGTGCTTTGGTCCAGCCCATTAGGGTCCAGCTCAAGTGCTGCTGTGGACATTAATGCACCCAGGGGGGATATGTGTATGTGTTGCCATCTTGTGTACATGTGTATGTGTTTGTCAGTTGGTGTTAAACGACTTACTGTTCCCTGGAGGAACGCGTGTCCTCTATATTGTGTGGAAAGCCAAATGAATTACATTTAGATGACTAAATGCCCTAAAAAGCAACAACACAGAAAAACAAACAGCCTGCTACTCCACCTCCTCCCTCTCCTCCCTCCTCCCCGCTCCGCCCCTGCAGCATGGGACTATGGAAGGGGCTGGTTTGGAGTCTAGGGATGAGGCCAAGCTTCAGTTTAATTACAGCCTGATTGGAAAAGCAGCTCCTCAGGGCAGCGTGTTTAGACCTCTGTGACATTGATGGATCATGTAGATGCAAGGAGGGAGGAGTTGCAAGGGGGGGTGACTTTTTTTTAAAGCAAAGCCCTGAGAATAAGGGAAAGTTTAGTTTGTTAGCTCAGCCTGACATCGCAGTTTTTCAGATTTGTTGCTGTTAAACTGTCATTTTTATTGATTCCAATAGAAATACATCCTGGCATCAAACCTGAACTTTAAACCCAGTCTGGATCAGAGTCGGGTTTTATAGTGCCAGTCTCAGGTGCAAAGGGTCAGACGGCGGCTCTGTCCAGACATTGGCATCTGGCAGCAGTACCCAGCCAACCTGGGCTTTAAGTGACTGCTAATTTGGTCCCTTAATGACAGCCTCTACATTGTGATCATCTTATTTCCAGGGCAGCTAATTGAATATACGTGCTGGGGTTTGGGGGGGGACTGGCCATGGGGAAGAGCTAATGCCCTGTGATGAGGCCCCTAATTGAATTAGTATAACTGAATAGATGGAGGGCTCTGGGAGCTCTCTGGAGAATGGGAGGGTTTAACACATGTCAACAAAAAAACAACTAAACTCTGGCTTTGACAAGGCAGGGGGAAAAATCAATTTGTTGAGCAAATCTAGTAGAAAAATCAGTCTAATTGTGTCAGCAAAATCTCAGAATCTTTTCTTACATAGCCTTCAGCCAGTTGGTTCTGTTCAAATAATTGACCAGACCTTGTACTCTTGTCCGGAGTCAGTTCTTTGCAGGAGTGCGCTGCTTCAGTATCAGTCCCCTGTGCCGTAACATGGGCTGAATTAGGATGCAAGGAAGGAGTCTGGTACCTCATGGTCCTCCAATGAGCACCTTACACCTAGGTCCTGTTAAAAAATGCATTCTTTTTTGGATGGAATGAAAAAAGAGCCAGTAGTGACAGTAAAGGGAGCAAATGAAAGACATTATTTTGATAATAGGGTTGGACCCAGTGCAGGTCCCTGATATAGTGTGTCTGAATGTACGCGTGACAGGTAGGAGGATGTGATGGCCCCTGTGCCCCTCATGCTTAAGCCTGCCCTTTGATATGTTCCCCCATCATCCCGCTCCCTCTCTTCTCCTTGGGAACGGGAGAAGCACACCGGCCAGATCATTAGACATTAAACAGGCACGGGGGCTACTGCTTCGCGTCGGCAATTAAATGGCACTGGCTTACACTGGGCTTGCTGCGCCGGTGACCCCTCCCCCTCAACCCCCACCCCAACCCCGCCAGCCATTCTTACCTTTTTAGATTGAGACGTAGGAGCCCCAGGGTTGGCGTGGTTTGGGGGTTTCTGCCTCGTCTCCTTCTCTGTGTTGGTTAAATTGGTCCAAGGCGCTGCTTGCTACTGATGAGCCCGAATGATGATGATGGTGGTGATGATGATGATGCCCCCACGCTTCAAAGGGATGGTCGTCATGTTTAAACCATAACCTGGGCCATGCAGTGGCAGCGGGGGGAGGGAGGAGGAGAGGAAGTGTGGAGGTGGTGAGGGGACAGGGAGGAGGAGTAGAGAAGAAGAAGAAGAGGAGCAGAAAAAAATTGATCTTGCAACAGAGGACATTTTAACAAGTGCACAGAGAAAGAAGTAAGGAGGGTGAACAGGGAGAGAGGAAACGGGGAAAATGCAGCAGCCCTAATGATGGGCGATATGCAGCCGCTGCTGCAGAGCTCCCCATCAACGGATGACATGGCACAAACACCAATGTGTCAGTGATGAAGGGAGAAGAGGGGAAAGGAGAAAAAGAGGGAAAGAGTTTGAGGGGGGAGCGCACTGGCACTCCCCTGAGATGGCCTCCAACAGAAAGTAGTTGTTCCTGGCGAGTTTATCCTCATCATTATATTCTGGCTCCGAGCCATGCAGCCAGACACAGCCGGATAATGAGCTGCTTTAAAAAAAAAGAGAGAGAGAATTATTCCTCCTTTCTTTCCTGTTATTTCATCCTCCTCTCCTCTTTTAAATGCGTGTGTGGTCACGTGGAGCCGTGCTGTAAACGTACACATGCAGATAAGACGTGTGCAAATAATGTGACACAAATAATTAGTGTCATACATACACTGGCACATACTGTACAGCAGTGTCTTATGGCTGCTCTGGCCACAGAAGCGATTTCATAAATAAGGGTTTCCGGCCTCGATATGGGGAGCGTGGAGCGATGAAGATAAAAATGACTGACAGTGCTGAACCGGCAGAAAAGATGGGAGGAAGGCAAATAGAGACTCAATACCTGAAGTGATACTAGACTTTGATGGAACATCTAGTTTGAAATATTCCTTGATAAGACATAATGGTTCAAGCTTTACCCCTCCAAAACCTGGCATTTCCATATCAGTGCAAATGCTAAAAATGCAGTTTCCTGAAAAATAACAATGGCTTTCAATGGGCATTTATCATCTACAGATGGCATTTAAATCTTATCTGGAAACCATTTCCTCATCTATCAAAGGTGACAATTGTTAAAGGAGGTACAAGTGCTTGATTAGTCTGTGCAAGAATAAAAGCTATGGATGGCACTGCTGTCAGTCTCTGTGAATACATAGATTTCAAGGAGCAAAAACCCTCAATCTTACCTATTTCATTGGATCTATTACATTAATTGTTGCTTGGTTAGGATGAGGTTGTGATTAAATAAAGGTGAAGAGAAGCACTTGGCTCAAGTATTCAGTGTGTCAGGTTTTTTGGGCTGTTCAAAAAAGCCATCAAGAGATTTACCCTTGTGCAATTGCATTTAATTATTTCCACACAATATAGCGTTCATGCTTTGAATTGTATTTAACTGAAGCTTGTATTTGTAATATCCTGCTTTTATACCTTTGAGTTAAGTGTATAACTGCCTAGGCTGAATTCTGTGACATGTTTAAATAGAATATCTAAGCATACTGACTGTATAATAATAATAATAATAAAGAACTCAGCCTTGGGACATTTTCATGTGGATGTTTCTATGTACATTTATTTTATTGAAATAAAAGACGGAATTGGAATTCAGCTATTTATACATGTATTCCATTTCCTCATTTCACCTGTGTCCATTTACACAGTCTTTTGTCCTCTAGATTCCCCCCACACATGTTGCCCCCCCACCACAGTTTGCACGCCACGGGCATCCCACACCCAGCCATCGTCTCTTCCAACGTCAAGCAGGAATCGTCCCACAGCGACATCTCTCTCAACTCGTGAGTAGAATTTTGTTCATTTTGTTTCATTCACTCGTTTATGAGACGTAGGAGGTTAACCTTTCTTAACTCTGGTCCTCAACAGGAAACAGTCAGAAGCTAAAAAGGAAGAGGAGAAGAAGAAACAAGTCCACATAAAGAAGCCTCTGAATGCCTTCATGCTTTACATGAAGGAGATGAGAGCCAAGGTTGTGGCTGAGTGCACACTGAAGGAAAGTGCTGCCATCAACCAGATCCTGGGGAGAAGGGTAAGTCAACAGACACTAAAATGGTCAAAATGAAGGGTTGAGCACAGTGGTTCCCAATCCCGGGGCTCAGGACCCTCTGCCATGCTAATTTTATTCCAAACATGGATTCATATAGACCTGGGATTCAAGGTGAATGCAGTTAACAGCCAGTAGTGTACATTTAGGTCATCCTCATTACCTGTATTTTCCTATTTATGGTTAAAATATTAATTTTTTCATGAATTATTTTCCATTTTACAGTGGCATGCCCTAACGAGGGAGGAGCAGGCCAAGTACTACGAGCTGGCCAGGAAAGAGCGACAGCTCCACATGCAGCTGTACCCAGGCTGGTCAGCACGAGACAACTATGTAAGTTACGAAGTTTACAAGTCGTAACAGGATGCTCTTTTTCCCTTTCACTAGGTGACATGACGGGGATGAGTTCCCTCTTTGGCTCATTTCTAGCCTGAATTCCAACATTCTTGTAATTTTCTTTGACATGTATACCTGAGACTCAACTAATTAGCTTGACCCAAGCCTGCTTTGTTATGACGTGAAGAAATATTTATAACAAAGTGTTCAGACTTCGTTACAAAGTCTTATCAATTTCATCTAGTTTTGGGATCAAGCTGACCAGATTCCTCCACAAGCAGGCTTTGAGAAATCCTCCTGCCAAAACAAAAGCTTGTCAAGATGTCTAGATGTTCACAGAGCTGAGGAAAATAAGACAAAAGATTACAGAAAAAAAACTGAGAGGATGGATAATTCTTGTCTGGCCTGCAGTGGCTGTTACAAACCGGAGGGCAGAGACAGAAAAAAGCAGAGAATGAATGAATGAATAAGTAAACACAGAGAACAGTCCTATTCTCTGTTTCATGTTTTGGGCATTCTGCAATATAATAACTAAGGTTCCTGTCTGTGTCTATTTTTTCTTTCTATTTTTTTGGCGGCTAACCAACAGGGGAAAAGGAAGAAGAGAAAAAGGGAAAAGCAGCAAGCAGAGAGCAATGGTAAGTGAGCTGCAATTATCTCTGATATTAGAAGAGCCCCATCATGTGTCAGGCAGATGGGACATCTTGCAAGATAAAAGTCATGCTAGTTTTTTTTGTTTTATGTTTTTTGTGTGTGTGTTATTGTGCCTGGCTTTCTTTGTATATAGTTATGCTACCCAATGCAATATTTAAATGCTAGAGTTGCTTGTAATACCCCCCTTTTCCCATTTTGCCCTAGCCCTCCCCAGCTAATAACAACTGAATATGCATGACCCCCCCCCCCCCCCCACACACACTGCTTCTTACCTCCCCTTTTGACACCCCCCCCCCCTCCCCTCCCCACTTTGCCCCTTAGCGTTCTGGTATTGTGATATGTATGTTTTGAGAATGTGAAGTTGAAGTATTGTGAGAGCCATTAACTTTGCTAGTGTTGTGTGCGTGGCCCCGTTTTATAATGCCTGTGCCCTGCAGATGTGTGTGTGTTTGCGTGTGTGTGTGTGCACTCGTTCGGCTGCCCCTTGCTTGCTTTCATGCATGCTTTTATACCAACATAAGAACAATCACTTACATCTTAAAATTAAGGAGGTTTGCTTATTTCATGATTTATCTATTTTTTTTTTTATTCTTATGATTCATATTCTTCTCATCTCGGAGACTTGTTATCATGTATTTGGCGCTCGTTTGGTGACGGATTTCTTCTTGAAGGCCTCTCTATCTGTTCTTTTTTTTCAGAACACAGAGAATATTTTCCAAATCCTTGCCTTTCACTCCCTCCGATTACAGGTGCTAATGTCATTTTGAGTATTAAATCACTAACTTGTTTAATTTCTTCTTCTTTTTAAAAAAAATAATGTTTATCTATGAATAATGTGTAATATTAGGCAGGATTAAGGTTAAATTCTATCTAAATATGCTCTTTTTGCATTCTTTGCTGCTTTCTTTTCTTAAAGTGATGCTCTTGTTTATTTGACTTCAAGCTAGATTATATTGCATTTAGTTGACTTCATCTCGCTATTTAGTTTAAAGCATTTGCAGTATTAATCACTATGCAGAATGCTTAAAGATCTGATTATATAAAGTTAGCTTTGTGGAGTATGACCTGAAGGATGTGATCTCAGGGTAAACCTCCTTAATCTATACGCTTCAGTAGCTGCGCTTTCCTATAGGCTAGCATGAGTTTGGCATACTCCCTCCTTTTAAATCTACTCCGCAAAGACTTGGTCTCAAATATTGAACCACAATATTCTTTGGTCAGTGACGGGCAGCTTTAGCCAGTGTTGATAGGAAACAGCCAACTGTTTGATGCCAGGTCTAATGAGTAGACCCCCTCTCCATCTTTTTTAATCCTTCCCCTGGCTAGGGCTAACACACCGTGCTGATTCAGCAGTCTGCTACTAGTTCTTCCCCCTTTGCCTTGTCTTTTTTAGAACCGTAGTTCAATGATAACCTCTAGCGAGTAAATTAATCCAACCTGCATTTCCTCCGTTTATACCCTCTCGACTAAATCTTATCTTCAGCTTCAACTCCAGTCAGAATGTAGATAACTTAAAGCGTTTGTTTCCTTATTAATGTTATATTTTGCATGCCGTTTGATTTGACTAATGTCTGAAACACACTAATGGTGTTCAGTCCTGTCTTTAAAGGCACTCTTGAGAATGGCTTTACGGGGTGTTGTTTGGGGATGAGGGGATTTCTTGCACAATGAGCCACTGCAAAGCTTCATAGATTCACTGTTACCTGTTTTTTCTCCTCATTTCTCTTCTCCTTTTTGATTTCTGGTTTTGGTTATTTTTCCTCCTCTCTGCTGGCTTCCCCTCCCTGTTGCGGCATCAGACCTGAGCGCTCCTAAGAAGTGTCGAGCGCGCTTTGGGCTCGATCAACAGAATAACTGGTGTGGCCCGTGCAGGTGTGTATGGTGTGTGCTTGCACCGGCCGGGGCCAGGTGAAAGCTGGGTAACTGTGCACTGGGACTTCCTCCTTCGCTTTTTCTGCCGCTGCCTTTACTTCCTCTTCTCCTCCTCCCCTCTGTCGCCCGCCAGGCTATCATGAGCTCTCAGCTTCCTCCAGCCACGCCCTGCCGGTCTATCTCTAGGCTCCCACTATTTTATTTTTTTACCTCCTATTTGGGAAGAAGGGTATTAACAGCATATGCTCGAGTGTTTGTATGAATGGTGTCTGTGAGTGAGGATTGGTGGAGAAACATTACAGGGGTTTCATTGCAGGATGTACAGTACAATGAGTCTGAGATTGATACAATATCCTAAACTGGCAGGTCGGGGCTTGGAGGATCTGGAGCCTGATGGCTTGTTCAATATGGAGGACATCCCAGTGTTACTAGCCTGAACCTAAGCCCTGGCTATATTATTTGTCTGTGCAATGACGTGTCCATTTTGTTTTTTCTTTCTTTTCCTTTTGTTATTTGTCTCTGTGTGTATGTTTGTGTCTACCTGTTTGGCTAACAGATGCAAATACCCCAAAGAAGTGTCGTGCCTTGTTCGGGCTTGACCAGCTGAGTTTATGGTGCAAACCATGCAGGTATTACTGCTGTAGTGCCAATGGGAGGAAGACATCCACAATGAGCCGTTTCTTCTTTTTGATTATTTGCTCAGATTTCCCTCTTAAATGTGTTTCCATCAGTGTGGTAACAGATGGCAAACTCCTCTGCTCTTTTTTCCTAACTGAGGAACTACTTCCTGCTCTAAATTCCCTCACAGCAACTTTTCCTCACTGAACTCAGTTCAAGCCCAGTGGCAGAAAATGGATTTCTTGATAAGATTACTGAATATTTTATCTCAACAAAATAATAGGGATAATTATTTCTTAATGTCAATTTTGGGAAAGAAATTACATACAATTTGAGTTATTAATGTTTGAAATCCATGTTCTCTCCATGCAGGGGATGATTCCCCCACCCCATCTTAACTGTCATGTTTGTTCTAATTGGCGTCCTTTTTGAATAACAATGTTATGCTTACAAATTTAGCCCTGCTTTCTCTGAGGGCCTGCTCAGTGACACTCTTTTCTGTGCCCTCTTCCTCCTCCTTCTCTCCTTCCTCCAAACTCCTCTTCAATAACCCTTACTTAGTCCCTACCTGTTGTCTTTCTGTTCTGACACAAGCAGTCTTTGAATTGGGAATATTTTCATGGTAGGTATTTGTTTCTGCTAAGTAATACCCTTCTCTGTGTCTGGCTCTCACCACCACCCGCCCCACCTCTTTCTTCACACCACTCATCGCAACACATTGTTTCCTGCCACACGTTTCATTTGTGTTGTTTTAAACTTTCGGCTCCAAATTTAGTCAAAGGATTTTTCTATTTAGCTCTAATTTGTTACTTCATTTAGAGGTCAGTTTTTAAATGTTTGTCAAAGGATTTTTTATCTTTCAAAAATACTATGTCCAACTAGAGTTGAACACATTACCTAGACTTTCTTGTAATTAAATATTATTTGAATCAGGCAGGACGATTACTCACCAAACCCTTCACACGGTCAGCCATTGTTGGCCTCTCCACTTGGCTCTCTTATTAACCTCCCAGCTGGAACACATTATCAAACATACTGTATTTTTCTTAAAAAAGAATAGCAGATTATAAGATAAGATGCCTAAAAAGGGCAGCGATTCAGCCCTGTAACAGCTGAGAGGTTAAAAGTTCTCTCTGGGCTCCATTTCCTAAAAGATGCATCTGGTGTAATTTCCCCCGAGACGGAGAAATCAATAACATACACAGGCACGTACTATGAATCGATATGTCTGTTAAAAGATGGATATTAGCTCATTTGTTGCAGCTTGACAGACAGTTATTGAGAGCAAGATGTCTATGTAGTGGCAAATGATACCTTTTTACGGCGGGTCGATATCCCGCACCACCCAGCGCTACAGTATCAGTGCAGAATGCACTAAGAGCCTCATTCCCACTCTTTTCTAGTCCTCTATTCTCGGTGTTGTGTGCCTGTACTATTGAGCTCATCTGTAATGCATGCCTGTCTTTCACCCTAGCATGAGATCAAGGTTTCGTGAGCCTTTTTTATGTGATTTGATGTTCCTTTTCATTATCAGTACTCTGCTCTCTTTTATTGTTTGTATAGACTTCCCCTTCAGAACTACAGGGAAAAGGTTGCATCTGAGAACCTCAATTAAACAAAATGAGCTTAATATCTTTCTAAAGACTCAATCTTCTTTTTTAAAAACACCTTTAGTCTTTTTTGTACCTACTCCCTGTGAGTTTTAAATACGAACACTCCATGGCCTTCAGGCATCCTTGTGCTAGCATGGAGAGCTGAGAGAGGGGTCACTGCCAGGGTCAGGGTAAAGATGAGAGGTGGGCAGAGAATTCCCCCTTAACCAAATCTGCACACAGCCTTTCGCAGCAGAGTCACCGCAGACAAATGCAACATCCCCTACTCTCTTAAATCCCCTCCCCTCCCCGTTCATCGGGTTCCACCGAGCGCAACGGGCCTGGCCTCAGGACTCTGCAAGCGGGGGGGAGGGTCCTGACCCCGGGCAGGAATGCAAACATGATGCCTTGACCCCTCACTCACACACACTTGTGTCTGTGGGGCAGATTCGGAGTAGTGTGGATCTTGTTGACTTTTTTCGCCTCGTATCCAAACTCTGTCCCCTCAGGAGAAGAGAGAGTAGGGCCAGATAGAGTCAGAGACAGGTCCAGTAACCTCGTGTTGCTGGAGAGAGCAGGCTGATCCCCAGCTGAAGCTCTGCCTGTAAGAAAAGGCTAAGTTAACATCCAGAGAGCAACCATTACTCCATCTAATCTTCTCTATATGTGCTTTTCATTTCCCTGCTGCTTCACACGTGACCTTTCCTCCATGTCTGTCCTGTCTTATGGTTTAGAATTGGTATATTGACTGTCATTTCTACCACTTTATCGTCTTAGCACGAGCCATTTAAATGCACCTGTAAAATCTGTGATGCAAAACAAGTTTCAAGTTTTTTGAAATTTGAAAAAAGAAGGTGCATTTCAATGAGCTACAGTGCTAAGAGGCGATGCAGTTTGAAGATGCGTTGTCTAAAACATGCTCTCTTTCTCCCTCCTTGTCCCTCAGGAGAAAAAAAAAGTGCATTCGCTACATCCAAGGTGAAGGCAGCTGTGCCAGTCCTCCCTCTACGGACGGAAGCTTACTAGACTCCCCCCCATCCTCCCCTTCCTCAGTGGTCCCCTCCCCCTCCCCAAAAGAGTCCAATCCTCAGACTGAACAAATGCAACCTCTCTCACTGACTATGAAACCGGCCCACCAGCCACTCCACCATCCGCACCGCCTGGTTGGGCCTCCACCACCATCTTTGGTTCTGCTGGGAAACTCTGCTGCAGCTAGGAAAACGCCCGGCGCCCCCTCCCACAACGGAGCCCTGGAGCGCGGCGACGTCTCGTCCTCGCGGCAGCCGGGCTCCTCCATGGCGTCCTCCATGGCCCGGTCCTCGGCATCGCTGTGTCATTCCCTCTCGCTCCTCCCCTCCTCGAACCCCCAGCCTCTGTCGCTAGTGACCAAGTCTATAGAATAGTCTGCCCTATTCTTCTCCTCTTTTTTCTAGCTCTGCACACACACATACACAAACACACACCTTTCTAGGCCCTCTCTCTGCTCTATTTCACTCTGTCGGTTCATTTCTCTATTCGTTTCTGTGCCACAAGGCGTTTTGAACATTTGAGTTTTTCTTTTATTAAAGTTCATTGGTCAATATTTGACCCATCATTATCAAAAAAAAAAATCTAATTATTATAAAGAAATGATACAATGAGCTGTAGTATAGCTTTGTGAATCTGCCAACATTTTTATGGATTTTGTTTGTCTTTTTTTTGTAGTGTTTAACAGTGCAAACAGAAAAACTATCTAGATCAACTTCAAAATGTTTAAAAGACGGATATAAAAAGGTAGGCTAGATTATTCAGTGAGCCCTTTTCTTGAAAGAGTTGGTTCTCCTTCTTTATTTGTATTAAATACGAGCTTGCGAACCAATCATTTTGACATCTGTTCAAACTCTCGGAGGGCGTGAGGCTAGCAGTGACACCTCTCGGAGGAACAACTTTAATTGTGATGTTACTTGTTCTTGTTTAAATGTACAGAATAATGGGGAGGGGGGGGTTACTGTGTTAAATATGCATTCTTCCACTGCGTTGTCTTTTTTCTTTGTTGTTTACCTTTGGGGTGGAGTCAGGCAAGTTGGGTGGGCTTGAGGGGAGGTCGGGGTGGGGGGGTTAAGGGTTATTAAATTCAAAATGTCACAACGCTAGGACCAGTAGTATTTATTGCTTTAGAGATTGCTTGTTGTATCTTGTATGTGTCTCTTTTGACTTTTTTTTCTTAATACATTGTACAAATATTTTTTCTTAAGGTAAGCGACTTATATATGAATGATCCATTTTTACAAGGAGGTTTTAAAAGGCAAATCTTTTGTTATTGATTTCTTTCCTCGCTGAAAAACCTGGATTCCACTCAGTGTACTGTGTAGATCTCATGAACAGAAGTATGCACAACTTCATTTCAAGAAATGCGTCTATAAGCCATTTTACAAAAAGAAGAAAAGAAAACTTGAACAAGACAGTGGGTACCGTGTCTTCAGTAGATGGAAAAGTGTCTGAAGCCCTTCTTTTTTATTGCACAGTCACATCTCTCAGACTGTAGATTCGTGTACAGATTTTCCGTGCCAAATTTTGTGATAATTTTCTCTGCCCCTCTAACCATGCTGTAGGGATCCATTTTTTGTTTCTCGTCGTTTTTTTGTTTTGTTTTAATTTCGATACCATTCTTTGCTGTGACGTTACATAGATTGCTATGTATGTAGTATAAATGTTGCTATAACAAATGTGTTTGGTAGCAAAATTGTCAAATATTAAAATTTAAACTTAATAAAAAAGCGGACATCATACTGTATAAACCCACAAGGGCCAAATTATGTATATTAGGAGGTTCATAAAAAAACTATTAAATACAAAAAAATACACAAACTGCCACTTTTAAGTACACTACTACATATAGGTAGATAGAAAAAATAGGCATGTTGATGTTGCAAGAGGCTGTAAAAAAAGCTACAAGAGAATCATCCACTCGGTGCCATTGTAGTTGACATGACGCGACTGTAACCTGTCGATTTCTTCTCTGGTTTATTAAGATGCTAATGATAAATAGTTTGAATGTTTCCTTAACGGCTGTGATGTTCCTGTTCTATTTTATGCTCTTATCTTTTTGTTTGTTTGTTTTTCCTGTTATTTTAAATGGTTCCAAAACCATGTTTTTTTGTAATGAATAAATGTTTATGCTGTACAGTCTCTGTAGCATGCAGTTCTGTATTAATAAAAGCAACTTAGTATGTGCACATCTGTGTCTTTCCTTTTATTCGTAAATTCCCTGGCAGAACTAACCTTTTACAGAAAGAAAGGGTTATACAGCGTTCTCTGCCAATACAGTAGATCTTTCTGAGCTTTTCAACAGATAGCCACAATAGAATACAACAGTGATTTAGATTCCTTTAAGTAAAAGTATAATATAGAATCATGTCATTGTAATTAAAAATGGAAAATACTGTATCATGTTTAAGGAAATACAATGATTAAATGGCAAACTTTTGTATGCATACACATTTGATTACAAGGGCATCGATAGTCCCAACTCCAATTGACACATTTGTAATACACAAGAGGAGAGAGAGAAACGTTCAGATCGAAACACCCTCTACAAAATCTAGTTTTTACTTCTTTGTGTTTGCACACATGCAAACTTAACAAGATGCTTATTATCAGTAATATTCTGCCGCTTTAAGCCAATCAAACAACTTCAAATGTAACTTCAAATCACTAACTTTTTAATAAGCCACAGACAACAAAGTTCTGTGTCTTCTCGACTCATGCTGAAAGAAGAGATCAGGTCATCATCCATTTCCAATTTACTGGTGATTATCAAGATAACAATCCTTCACCTTAGTGTGGATGTTTCATTCAAATGATCATAGAGAACTCTGAACTGCATTTACGCACTGATATTTTATCGCAAATGATGTGGATTTTTAAATGCCACATTAGACACGACGACGTATAGTATGACAAAGATATTAGTAGAAACATCCTGAAGTATGTCTAAATTGTCTGAAAAAACGTTGTAGTATTATCAGAAGAAAAAAAATGTGTCAAGTATGTGGATAAATATCTGAAAAATAATATAGAATGTCAAAAAATAAGGCATAGTATAGTATGGCAACAATTGTGGAATAACATAGTATATATAGTATGTCGGAAAAAAGTAATTGTTTAGTTTGTCGTAGTATGGGAAATACCAGAAGAAATGTCATCGTATGTCTAATATTTCTGAAGAAATGTCTTAGAATATTATATGTTGAAAAAAAATATATAGTATTTTGAAAAATATCAGGAAAGATGTCATAGTATAGTTGTCAACAAAATTCATAGTATAGTATGACAAAGATATCAGTTAAAACATTGTAAAGTATGTAGAAAAAGAAAGTCAGAATATGTTTTACAAGTACAATTTGTCAAAGACTATATACAATACTTCTATGTACTTTAAGATCAGAACATCTTATTTTACTTCCAAATTCATACATTTATCAATGTAGCCTATACCTTTTCAGATAAATACCTTCTTTTGTGTTTCATGGGCAAGGGTAGCACAACTTATTCTCCCCTCAGTTTGTACTTCAGAGGAATTGGCAACTTCTGCAAAACAGGAAAAACCCCACGAAGGCCAGCGAGACAGAGAGGAGGATCATGGTCAGTATTTGGTATTGGACTAAATCTATTGGAAGGTATGAAGCATGGGCAAATCTGTGTTGTGCTATATGCGCTCTACTAGTGTTATGGAATTGATTTTAGTTCACACTGAGACACATGCACTCAATACAATTCAAATAGCTTTATTAGCATGACCATAATGACATACAGTACAGTATTGCCTCAGTTTTGTACAATTAAAACATCTATACATACAAATACATTTGGAATGTAGGCCTACTGTTCAGTTTGGAAACATAACATGTTTTCACTCAGTTTAGTATCAAAAAGAGGACAAAGACTTTGCGCATACCTCTGTAGGAAAAGGGGAAGGCATTCATATGTAAAGAAAACTTAAGAACATTTAGGAAACTGGAGGGAAATACAAGAACTATGGCACAAAACAACTTCTGTTCTAAAGCTCTGATCCCTTACACTTACATAAGACAGATCTCTTTTAATCTGCACTGTCTGGCTACATTTGGACGTACCTACTGTATGTGTCATGCAAATGGACTCCGAGCACTAAATTAATAATAAAGTGATACTTGTCGAATCCCTGTAGGGAAATTCTCTATTCCCCAGCTGCCGTCTACGCTGAGGCCAGAGTTCAGGATGAGCTCAGAGCAGCGCCTCTGGAGCTGGTAAATTCTGCGACTTGCTGATGAAAACTTAAACAAGGCTGCACAAAAAGGGGGCTTGTACATCGCTAAGGCATTCAGCACTTTGAAAGCGCTTTTAATACATAGGTTGTATTGTATAAAGTAATGATTTAATTTAGCGTCAGGTTAATTAGTTTGCTTTTTTATTGCATCAATTCCATTTTCTCCAGTGGAGTTTTATCAGTATTTATGTCGGGGAATTTTGTCTACAAATATTTTGTATTTGAAGGAGCACAGGCGTTGCATTCCAGTCAAAGCAGGCTGTGTTGTTTTGTTGGTCTCCTCTTACGTGACGTTCTCAATGGATCAACTACAGCTCTGTGTAGATGCTGGTAAGCAAGTGCAACATTTTATAGATTCACTCTCTACGCTGAGGAGAGAATCATTGATTTCTTATTTATTTGAAGTTTTCTTAAATCTACAAAGTATCGGAGAAAACAACGAAGAAGTATTAAAGTGAAGCTGAAATACAGTGTGCAAGTTGTTGTTGAACATGGCCATAGACGGTTCTCCGGTGAATAACAAGCAAAGAAATACTGAAAACAGGAGGATGGGTTCAGTTGTGATCAAGCAAACGCGGGTCTCTTCTTTGTTCCCTTTGAGTGTGTACAGTATACAATATGCACACTTAATGCATTTGTGTGGGCTATACCCTTGAACTATAAACCGTTAGACAAGCAATGTATAACGCGGGAGCGTCCGTGACGATTCTATTACATTCATTTCAAGAAGCAGGAAAGGCATTGAATACCTGGGTAAAGAAATTACGTTTTTTGATGTCAGTGTTGCATGGAGGAACAATGTAGAAGGCCATTGCTTCAGGCAAGCATACAAATCAGAAAACATTGCAAAACATGTCCCCTAGGTTACAACAAACAAAACACAAAAATATATTGTTTTCGGATGTTTTTTTACAAGCAATGCATACCCCTGACCCTGATCACGATGGAAGAATAAATTGAAAGGTTGAAGAAATGGACGGTGTATAGCATAAACATCGACAATATTCTTTGTTGAACATTCCGTCAAACAGCTTCATATTCACAGATGTATGTTGTCCTCCATAATGACATTCCTCTTTTCACCCCAATAAGGTATTGCATGAAGTTAAAAGGAAA